GGTTTCTGTTAAATGGTTCTTGAATTAATTCCTCTATACTGCATGGATGAAAAAGAAAATAACTTCCCGCCCGTGCATTTCAGAGCCAACAGTATCAAGGAGTACTAGTGTCAGTGAATTACTTCTCTGAACTTTATTATGTGCGATATTTAGCCAGTTTGAGAGAAATAAAAAATCCTTGAAGTGGACACTCTCTAAATTTTGGGGCATGGGATTTTCTGCAATTAACTAGATTGCTATGCTAGGCCAATATATTAAGCCCAGGCAGTTTCGCTGCTAATTACACACAACTTCTCTGGAGTATCGGATATTCAGATCCATTTTATGAATATGGTAGAGAGAATAACAACTGTAAAACAAAGCACTGTGCATGTAAGTGACTGTTAGCGTGTATTTCAGAAGGGATAAATGCTCACCATATGGTACAATTACTGTGTCCAAGTTTTCAAATTAGCTTCTCTCATCCTCCTTATTACTGTCTTTAAAAAGAGAGGAAAAAAAACCCCAACATGATTTATCTACTCTGCAGCAGAACTCTTGACGCAAAACAGCAGCCCAGTTCTGTCCAGTTTTTTTTTTCCTAGCATAATAGAGGCTGTCGGACTTTTTTATACTAATTACTGTGTGAGCCTCAGATGAACCCCCTTCAATTCACAGGGCTTTGTTAAGGGAGGAGCTGTCAATGTGTCTGCCCGTTTGCAGCTGTGCTGTGGCTTTAGCTTGCTTAACATTATGCTGCTTTTTAGACTTGACAGCTTTTTAGCTTGTGAAAAGGGATTTTTTTTTTTTTTTTTTTTTTTTTTTTTTATTAAGGCAAAGCAGCCTTGTAGCGAAATGGTTTAAGCAGCTGCATTGTGGGGAAGCACAAAGAAGTTATTATTGTGTCTGTTTAGGGGGGTCGGATGGAGGGGGGAGATATTCGGCTGCTGTTGATGCCGATTGTTGACTTGCCATCTGCCAGATAGGGAGAAGAAAAAAATGACAGCTCCAGCAGGGTGTTCAAGAGGTTGTTTGGAGAGACGCATAAACATGTGCAGATGTCGAACTGAATAATGGCAAGAACTTGAGACGGTTTATGATGCTGCTGTTGTGTGTGCATATACAGAATGAATGTATGTGGAGATTTGGTTAGGAGGAGGGTACATATTAATTATCATTGTCCCCCACCGCCTCCTTTACTTCTGTTAATTAGTTCAGGAGTTTAATATCTTCCCTCCCTCTGTTGTTTATTGCTAAAAAGAGCCTTTTCTTATCGGGAAGAAAACTTCTGATTTCTCCATGTGGTGGTTTTAAGGAAAAACAACCAGCAACTCAATAAATTCAGTACTTGTGGAAGTAGAAAGAGTAACGCAGTTATTTCAGTCTCAGACATTTGGTGGACAGGTGCTGTGCGAGTTCTTACATAGTTTTGTCTGTCTACCTCAAGACTGATATGTTGCATACCCCTACTATTGCATCCTGAGCTTTTCTTATGCACAAAGTGCCAATCGGTGCTTGTCTGGTATTATGTAGTAGACAAGTAAATGCTAGGGGTTAGAATGAGATTAGCAACTAATTTTCTCTTTCACTTGATCTTATTTCCAGTTCCGTCTCCAAAGGCAAGGAGCTGGTCAGGCATAACATATTTTCCTGTTTGACAGTTGCATATAAAATCAATTTTGATCGCTCTACAGGAATATAGTTTTCTTTCTTCCGCTAAAATCCTTTCTTATTTTTTGATTTCTGCTGATCATGAGTTTTCACGATAAAGAAAAGAAATGTGAGAAAGGATATATTATCATGGAGGGAAATTAAGTTAGGCTAAACAAAAGCATTGCCTTATTCAGGTGACCTCTTACTTTAAAGATAAAAATGTAAACTTTAATGAAATTTCTTCTTAAATATTGTGTACAAATTCAACATTCTGATAGCTGTATTGAATTGAAAAATGGAAGATGAACTAGTGGCTGAGGTTGCAGGCATGTCTTCAGCTAACAGTGTCTATCAGAGTGTTTTGGTCAGTCACAGCGTGACTTAAATACTGTCTGAATGAACCTGTCCACCCCTTCCCACCAACCCCTCACCAAAAGTGAAGGAACCCCTTTTGTTGTCTTCTGCCTTAGTTCTAATAAGCATTGGGTCTGTAGGTCACTGATAACAGTAACTGTAGATGGGAGCATTTGATGTCCCCTTTTATCATCACCGTGGCTGAGTGGAAGAACTCAGTTTCAACCTAATTTTAACTGGAAATTCAGGTGTGGCTGCCTTCTACCCAAGTACCGATTTCTGCATCTGAGCCTGGACAGATGTCGACAACACTGCAAATGGAGAATTGCTTTTTGCCTGTCGGTTGAGCTGTTGGTTCTCCTCCACAGAATTGTGCCGTTTAGCGTGTTCTGTCATTGGTGGTGTGACGTCCAAATTACTCTGGGGAGTGCTGCATTGCTGCTTATCGTGAAGCATTTCATGCAACCCAAGAGTTCCTCCTGATGTGTGCAGCAGTAGTGAAGCTGTTCTTTCACCTCAAGCAGTTTGAGGAATGCTTCTGCATATCTCAGACTCTTTGTAAATGCAGTGGGTAAATGATAAACAGCTGACTTCAGCCAATGTGCTTGAGGCAAACACAACGTGCTAGCTTTTTGGCACCTGGCAAGGTCTGGGGCTAGAAGCACACCTAGTGACAAGGAGAAAGTTCAAAGGAGCTATTTCAAGATGATTGCAGTGTGCCAGTTCTAAAAGTGAGACAGTTTGCGTTGCGAAAACATGCTAACAAGTATACCAGTTTTGAGGAGAAAGTTACATAATTTTTGACAACACATTAATCTGTCAGAGAAACTCCGCTGAATGATAATGCTATTGTCAAACTTATCATACTCTTTTGCAAACAGTGAAAAGTTTGAGGTTTCTTGTGTATACTAGAGTTGGCTGTCTCACAAAAAAGTTGTAAGTAGACAATATTAAGATATTTAATTCACATTAGCTACATGTAAAAAAAATTAAAATTTAATAATCTGATTTAATATTTATATTTGTACATTAATTTAAGTCATTGCTTCTGTAGCTGATGGTCTTATTCAGTGTAATTTATGGATGAATATTTGTATACTTGACCTACCTTAAAATATTTTCAATCTCTGAACATGATCCTGTGGTCTACTAGCACCTGATAAAACCAGAAGAAAGTAATATTTTTTCTGTTATACAAAGTGTCACTTGATGCTGATAGTTCTGTATAAAAAATTATAAATATTTAAACTTACTGAGACCATGAATGTTTTTAGCTATTAAAAAAATTATGTGAGTTAATATTCTAAATATTTTTTGGTTTTGCATTTATCACAAGTACATCTCAATACTACTAAAAACTAAAAAACTGATTTGAGAAGCAGCTAAATAGTATAGCATTTTGGGCTTTCATCCTATAAAGCCTTATGCAAGAGAGAAATTTTAAAAATGTGAGCAGTGTCTGGGATATAGACCTTGGTTTTCCATTCCTGAATAGCACGCATGTTCAGAAAATATTGATCACCTTTGTTGTTCAGGGATGCTGATGCAATTCAGGACTCTGTTATTCTAGACAGCCTGTGTCAATATCAGGTTCTATTTAATTTATTTATTTTTCTTATTCTTATCCTTCAAGAATGAAGGGGAAGTGAGAGTGATGTTGAAACTGGCAAGTTTTTCTTCCTGTTGGCTCCAAATGGACATGGTAAAGGTCAATTCACAAATTTTTCAGGATGTCAGCTAACTCAGTATTTCTGGTACGATTTTTTAAATGGATAAAATTTTATGCATATGAAAATTGGATACGTGGGGTGAACATTTATTTTTCACAAGATGCCAAAACACATCAGTAGTTTTGTGCGGATATTGTAGATGCCCAGTTTGAAAACTGTGTTGACATTTGAATGGCGTTCTCTCTCTGTTATTGAATGTTTTCCTCTAGATTTTTAGGTGTTTTGGAGGAAATATTATTAATGCAACAGCAAATGGCTGAATAAACAGCAGGAGCTGAAGTAGTGTTGCATTTATACAAGATAGGACACTGACTCAATCCACTGGTCATAATCAAAATGTCAGGATGGGTGGTGATTTAAACCCTGGTGAGCTTTAGCTGGAGCACATGTATAGGTTGCATTCAGAGCCTGGGTGGGGAAGAAAAGCCCACAGTAAGGGCAGGGAAAAACTTCCCGTTAAGGAGGTTGGTCCTCCCGGTAGCTTTAGCTGCAGCGATGCATGGCGAGACCGTGGAGAGCCGCCCTATGGCTTCAGCCTGCCTGGTGACTCCACCTCTGCGCCTGGAGTGACCCTGGTTTACTCGTAGGAGCCCTTGTCTCTCTCTGATCGCTGCCTGCCGAAGGAAAAAAAATCCCATCTTTCTTCCGAGCATCTTGGCTGGCACGGAGGAGAGGGTTGTCCCTGCTTTGCTCTCCCCTCGCTCAGCTGAGGAACGTGTAGAGGTTGTTCTGGAGGCTGCGCGCTGCCTCCCGCAGAACCTGAACATCAGTGTGGCTCTTGGCGGTTCCTGGCCACGCCGCTGAGAACAGCTCCGCATAAGCTGCGCTGGACCCTTCCGATGTCACGGGCAGTGACACGGACTTTCTCACCTTGATTCTCCAGTTTGTGGGAAACTTAATGGAAGCTCAGCTGTGGAATAAGCCAGTGCCCACCGAGAGCATGAAATGTTTCCCATTTCCCAGTTGTGACTGGAAAAATTCATTTGTCTAATCTAAGTGCAGATGTGCTCAAAATGTCATTTAGCATTACTGGGAACTGTGGGAAAAGAGTTAGTATAAATAAATAACCACTGTCTCACAATGTAAAAGAGACTCAAAAAGTGTTAGTTCCAAATCCCGCTTTTCTTTGAACTGCCGGCAAATACTTGGGAGGGGATATATAATAAAAACAGCTTTCAAAATGCTAAGGCACGATAGGAAAAAAATCACACTTTTACTTAATTTTTGGTGTGCAATAAGATTTTGTCAAATCTTTTGCATGATGTATAATTTCACATTGACGGTATGTTGAAGGACCTTTATCGAATCATGAGGACGGGTATACTTTTTATTTTTTTTAAACGTTTATTTTTTACAGTAGCTTTGAACTGTATGGCAATTTATTATGAAATCAGAAGTAAATATTTAACAGAAGTGCTTTACATTTACTAGTGTCTCCTGACTTAATCAAATAATCTGCTGATGGTTCTAGTGTGTTAGGTAACACTGCCCTCAGAGGGCCAAGGTAAGTAAATTCAATCTCAAAAACCACTGGCATTACTTCTCGTATTTTACTTGGCCGGACATTAATTACAGTTGTTTCTTTTAAAGAAAAATTGCATATGGTTAAATTATTTTAGTTCCTTTTATATAATTTTGATTAATGCTCCTAAATAAATTAAATTTCTCTCCCCTCCCACCCCTGGTTTATTAAATGTTAGTGTAGGGGAGCTAGAGATTAACAAAAAAGAAAAAAAGAAGGGAGAACAATTTTTGTGTATTATTTCAATTAAATCCATTTTAGTGAACTGATGACACAGACAAGAGGCAGATTTTTGGTGTTCTCTGCTTGGAGGGGGTAGTGGCGGTTTTTTTTTCCTTCTCCTTTTTTTCTCC